GCATTGGAAAGATAAGGCAAAATAACAGGGAAAATATTTTTGGATATTGGATGCCAAGCTGTCATCTAGGACAACGATTCTCATCTCAGGTGTTTGAGAACTTGAAAGAAAAATAAATAGCCACACCACGCCATATTCCTTCAAAATAACCTCTGATACTATAATATCTATTTTCTCCCATGACTGAATGGAAGTAGCACATGAGAAAGTACATATTTGTGGCATCTTCTTCCTCTGAATATGATGAGCTAGTAAGAAATGTTATGATATATTAAGTTCATCTGTTTTTTTAGATGGACAAATTTGGAAAAGTGAAGTCTAAAAAATTATGGGTATTTTTGAGTTTCTCTGCGTTGGAAGTGTTCTGACTATTAATCAGTGCTAGCTACATTTAATTATGCCAGCGTTAAAGCCTGCTACTATTGCCCACTAACAGCAATGGTAAAATAGCTAGAAACTTCAAGAAGATCAGAATTGTGCCTCCATTGGCTTAATACTTCAATAGAATCAACCTAGACTTACAAGTATGAAATTGAGAGGAAAATTTGTCCCTCTGACTTCACGTGGCTATTTATTATCTTGTGAGTGATTTACTTTCTCCAAAGTTTGTAATTGCAATTTAACTTTGAAAATGCAATTTCATTTTGAAATACTAATTCTCTGTATTTCCTGCACTGTGAGATTGCTAAAAGAGAGCATGAAAGCTTCTGTGTCATGCAGAATACACTAACCATGATCTAACACACCATGCATCTATGTTCAAGGTATTTTCCATACTATCCTTATAACTGGACATTGGCTTATTCTTTACCACATGTTTAAAGGGCAATGGAGTACCAAAACCAAGGGTCATCATAAAGTGCTTAGCTACTTTACAATGCACTATTAAATTGATCATTATTGACTTTCAGCTTTGCATAAAGACCATAAAGGATATCAGTTTATCTAATGGGAAATAGGAGAGTACATAATAAATTATGGGAATCTAATGAGTAGCGTGGTTAATGAGTATAGCATTTTGATGTGTTTTGTGTAGCTAGTAAATTACATGTGTAAAGATATAAAAAGGACAAATTTTCTAAATCACATCTCAACTGATGTGTGCTGTGTGTGATTAATACTAAGCTATTTAGCAGCCTTTTCCTTTAGCTACTTGCAAGATAAATTAAACAAATATTATAAAATCTAGTTTGATGTTCATGAACACCAGGACTATAAAGAGGCATGGACTGTATGGTCTCATAGATTATATTTAGGGACACTTCTGTAAATCTGCAGTTGTGGATTATCTGGCTTTGGGTTAATTTTCATCAATTTCCTGTGAAATGTAAAATTTAACTGCATTTTTTTCTTGTATGGAGGTAACCTTCCCATTGATAGCATGAACTGAGGGTATGCTGTTTTGTTTTCCCAGCTTTGCAGAAAAGTATCACATCAGTGCCATAGATGTTCTCCTTGCTGTACCTCACTCGTAATTGATTAGGCTCTGATCTAGCATTCAGCAAAGCACTCAAGCAAATGTCTAACTTTAAGCAGAGGACTACTCATGTGCTTAATTATAGGCATGTGTGTGTTTTGGTGGTTCATGGCTTTAATTGAGATGTTAACCTCTAATCTCAGGGACAGAGGACCTGATCCATAGCCCATTGAAATAAAGGGAGTTTCTTCATTTACAGAGGATGAAAATCAGATAGTCACACAGAGAGAGGGATGCCATCCCCAAAGCATCTTTCCTCAATCCCTCTCCCTTTGCAGAATGAAATGACTCTGCTCATCTGGAAGTATGCTCTTGGACTGTGTTATAAAGTGGTCACCCAGCCTTCTAAACTGTTTGACTTTGAGATACCAAGTGGCATGTAGCACTTCCTGGATATTTTGGTTCAGTGACCCTATGAATGGATCACGCTGCTCCTACAAAGTAATATTTTCATTTTGAGCTACATAATCACAGGGGGTATGTCTACACTACAGCACTAGTTCGAACTAACTTAATTCGAATTACAGGCAGTCCCCGGGTTACGTACAAGATAGGTTTGTTCTTAAGTTGAATCTGTATGTAAGTCGGAACTGGCATCCAGATTCAGCTGCTGCTGAAACTGATCAGTTTCAACAGCAGCTGAATCTGGACA